AGGTTTTGATTACTTTCATGTTTGCGGTTAAACGGCGATAAACTGCCCAAGGGGCGCAGGTAAACGTCCTTGTAAACATTGAAGACTGACATGAATATTGGAACGTTTCCGACTATTTTTAACCTTTTAAACCTCATCTACACCAAACGCGATCCAATCAGACTCCAGGTGATGATCGAGAATTACCATGGGAAACATGGCTGAACAATATTTCTGAGATTTAAGGAATTTGTCTCCATGTAAAGCCGCTTTAAATGCAATATGTTAATTATAATTTTTACATTCCAGAGGACTGTGTAAACTTGGCTCTCATTTGCCTGGTGGGGTCTTAATAGACTCCAACAATAAAAACAGCAACAGGAATAGATACAAAAAAAAACCAAACAAACAAGCAAAAACAATCAGCTACAAAACAAAGACTTCTATAAATCTTATACCACAGCTGATGTTCATGTGTCCGTAGTCACGATCATATTGAATCTGTGATGGGGTACAACTGAACATCGGCAGGCACGACTTGCACTAAGATGTTAAGTTATACCAATAGCAAGCATGTTTGTCTAATTTGCAAGTAAACGTTTTCGTTTGATTGCGGAGCTGTGTTAATATTTGCGCAGACAAACATAACTTTGATAAAAATTAATTTTCTCGGTAAATGTTATATACTTTAACCCATTTGCCCTTGGGTAAAAGGGCTAGTGTAGCCGCATCCGTAGTAAAAAGTGTGTTAAAAAAGTTTAGTTTCATTTCTTAGATATGCGACTATGCAATAATTATCACAGCAATGTTTGTACATGTCCTTCCTACGGAAAAGAAAAAAAAAACGGTCAGCCGCCAGACCGTTGTTTTCACTGTAGAAAGAAGGTTTAAGAGGAGTAAATGCCTATGTTTTACAAGACGTCTAAACAACCTTTAACTTACACGTTTATTTTTGGGGGGATTTCATAATCCTCGTTTGTTTTAAGGTGATCTATCGATTATCAGGAATAATCATTGCGGCGGAGTTTTATTCCCGATTCTTTTAAAACTTTATTTACGCTTTCTAGAAGAAATTTAAAGCTGACTCTACAATAGCGGAGACAGCTAAACTTTAATCTGTTAGGTCAGCATCTTTAACTACATAAGTTTCATCGCCTTTCGAATAAATCGATAGCTAGGTGTTATACAACTTTTTGCCTTGGTTTCCCCAATCTTTTGTTTTGTTATCTAAAAATTTTTTATCTGATATTTTCAGGCTTGCGAGAAAACGTACTAAGGTTCATCTATGCATACGGGATCCTTGCTTTGGTCAGCGTAGTAGCTGTATCCTATGGTATGTTTTACCTCTATGGTACCGCTCAACAAATTTGTGTTGTTGATACTGTTTCTGTAGCGACTGTATGCAACTACTTTTGGCTTATGTTTAATATTCAAGCATAAAAAAATGATTATCCACGACATTTTAGTACCAGTGTTGCGAAACAGCAAAATCATTTTAAACTCTCGATGGTAATTACAACAATCCCCCATGTGTATCTTGTTGTCGGACGTCCTCTTGACCCCTCCAATATCGTGGGACCCATGCTGTGATCAGCTGATGCGCTGCCCAACACGAAGAACATGCCAGGATAGTGCAATTCTTCCGTTCCGTACGGTCTGATAGCAGTGGACATTCTTTCTAAACTACCATATAGTTCGCAATTTGTAACGTGGTCTTTCCAGAAGATATGTTTCACCATGAATTTGTATTATTTTCCTGTTATAGGGTATATCGTATCCACAGTCGCACCGTCTGTACCAGCCGCCTCTGCCATCAGTGCCCCGTTACTTCTACCTCTGTTACTTATTGGCGGATTCTACGTTAAAAACAAGTAAGTGTCATATCGCTGTGGTTTGGATGTTTTTATTTGAAGCGCGGTCAGGTGAACGATGTCGAGATGAGGGTCGTCGTTTGATCAGATACAAAATGTAGTTTGTCCAGACCAAATATAGCGGAATGATGGCGTATTCCCAATAGGATTCGAAACAGGGCGACAGCGTGACCTAGTTGTCTGGGCGTCGGACTCACAATCCGGCGGCCCCGGGTTCGAGTCCCGCTCTGGCGACTTGCTGGATTTGTTCTCGGTCATCCGAGTTCAATCCTAGGCCACACTTGTAAACAGCCAACTGGTTGCCTCCTGCTCGTTGGGGGTTTTTATCCTGTTATGTTGTATTTGAATTATTTGTTTCTAAGTATTTGATTGGAGTGCCTGTAAACTAGCTTGATAAGCCAAGTGCACTTTCCACTATAAACAATGCAAGCCTTTACCTTTGTATAACGATCTTTAAGGTCCAACGAGTTTTCTATCGCTTAGAGTGGTGAACATCGGGGCTAGTAACCACAAGGTCGTAGGTTAAAGTGGTAAACATTCTGCATATTACCAGGGCGTTATTTGCTTCTCTTAAAAGGCTTAGTCGATTCATCGATCATGTCTAGTACTCAACAAGAAGCTTCGATAATGCTGGACACTAAAGCTTAGCACAGAATCCCTCCTTCATTACATTCATTGGAAATTCAGTGGCTAGTATTCCGTTTTTAAAATGACTCTTTAACTTGTGAAACATACAAAGATCTACTTAATTCTTATTATTTTCGTTCTTCGAGAAACGAAAAAGTGCACAGTACTTAAATTGTGAGGTATGTCATAACGTATACACTTTCCTGACAATTGCTCCGCCATCTTGTTTATTTTTCTTGTCGTACTTTGCTGAGATATTACGCGCCACTGACTAGAATTCACCTCCCTTACATCGCCTCAGAATCTGAATCAAGGAGAAACTCATGATAGTGCGAATATGTTATATCATTTCAGCACAATACCAGATTGGTTGTCATGGCTACAGTATCTTTCGTGGTTTAAATATGGATTTGAAACCTTGGTTGTAAACCAGTGGGACGGTTATGAAAATATAGGTATGCAGTTTATAGCCTTAAATTGACCAATTGTTTTCAATGTAATCACATCACCGCAATATGCCAGTTTAGGGCATGTTATAACCTAGTGACGGTCAAGTACTTTGAAGAGAAAGACACAATGTTATAACGATGAACGGTGATACTCTCTTTTGATCATGACGACTGAGTGCCATCTAAGCGCAAGAGTGCAAATTAGTGAAGTATTCTTTATCTTGCTTACGCAGCTTGCACACCCCAAGAAAACAGAACCGGCGTTCCTTGCATTAATAATGGCGATGAAGCTATCACTTACCTTGCGTTAGATAAGGTTGGTACAAGGCCTTATAGCGATCTACCTATTTACTGTATTTAAAGACGTGGTCGGCCGAAGTCAAAAAAAAAGGAAGGGGTCCGCTTTAATAGGCCTTTTCCAAAGCCAAGTGCAAACCCTTTCTTGCGAAAATAAGCGGGTTTTTTGCATGTTTCAACATCAATGGCATGCACTTTATCAGTTGGATTTGCACTTTTTTTTTAAAAAAAAAAAAAAAAAAATTGTAATAGGCTTAATTTTGACATAAAGTAGAAAAAATGGTTTTCATGTATACTGATTTTGATATTATATACAGAATTTTAAGATTTTTCGGGGTGGGGATGGTAGTTTTGGTGGTAATGGTAGTGGTAGTGGTAGTGGTAGTGGTAGTGGTAGTGGTAGTGGAAGTGGAAGTGGTAGTGGTAGTGGTAGTGGTAGTGGTAGTGGTAGTGGTGGTGGCAGTGGTAGTGGTAGTGGGAGTGGTAGAGGTAGTAGTAGTTGTAGTAGTAGTAGTAGTCTGTTTCAAAAACTCTCTAATAACCGACCGTAACTTAGATTTCTTAAACGACCGCGACCACCTTTTAGGCCACAAATTTGACAAATTCTTTTCTTTTCTGTTTCCCGTAAGCGACCACCCGGTATGATCTCGTATGGTTGTAAGAAAACCATTGCTCGAAGGTCACAGCATTTCAGTTTTTAATAGCGTTGACCAAGCGTGCTGACAGACTATAGCAGTTGACTTCCAAAAACAATGTCTGTAATACGATCTGTAGGTAAAATGGGGGATTGTAACATTGATACAAAATGTTATGCACAAACCTTCAACAGTTTCAAGACTCTATTTGAGGTGAAACATTATTGCCAGTTGTCTATTTGTCCACGTTTTAGCTTGAAAGATAATAACTTCACGTAATTACATGTACCTTAGTCAGTCCAGTTTGTGTTATTATTGTGTTATTATTATTATTATTATTATTATTGTTGTTGTTGTTGTTGTTGTTGTTATTATTACTTAGCCTCGCCTGGAAACAAAGGCTTGTGCCAACTCAGAGACGGCTCGTTCGAAAATGAGGAGAAAATGGAGATCCCTACAGTTGTAGGGATACTTGGAGCTTTGAGATATTCTCTGTGAGACGACAAGAAATAAACTTAGAGAAAGTTTCCTTTCGGAGAAGCAACCAACCGAATTGTCACTGACATTTTTTTTTCTTTTTAGGACAATGTGATGATCGACATTTATGCCTTATTAGCTCTAGCCGTTGGATTCCGAATAATATCATTTCTGTTTCTGCTAAGGAAAGCTTACAGAAGACCTTAGACATGAAATGTCTTGAAACGTTGTTGAATTATCCTTTTTTTCTATTTTTTTTTCATATTTTTGTTATTTTGATGTTTAATAGATAAATTTGATTAAGTAAGTTAATAAATTTGTCATTCGATTTAATTTGATAAATTAATAAATGGATTTCTTGCCCTTAATTATACAGCATTAAAAGCTTTTATCAATAAGGAATTCGAAACTGATGAGAGAATTTACAAAAACGATAATTTCCACGTGTTATTCATACAACAACAACAACAAAACTTTAATAATAAACAAATAAAATTACAAAAGTATTGCCCGCAGCTAGCAAGGATTCGAGGCGGGACAATGCTTGCAAAATATAAGAAATAAAGACTAAGGCTATTAACTAATGAAAGTTTACAGTTTACAAATAAATGAAATAGAAATCGTAATATGGACGAGGACTAATTAACAGACTAAAGGAAAAAGAATTTAAAAAAATAAATTGAAAAAGTAGAAACTAATAAACAAGAATTTCTTTTTTTAAATTTTTGGCTAATTTTACCTTTTTCATTAAGGTGGGCGTATCAATATAAGTCATCTTCTGAATTCAGAATATCAAAAAGTAATTTGCGGAGTGTTTTTTTGAACTTATTCATAAATGCATCATAACAATATTGTGTTAAGCAATTCTTTCAGATATTTCAAAGGACTCAAAATGGTGTCATCTTTTAGACTTCAGGCTTTTTTCAAGTTAATTTGTATTTTTACATTGACCTTTTTTCTCGCTAATCCGAATAAGACTTTGAGACACAATTTTTTAAAACTGAAAAAAAAATACTTTGGGGTTGACATCTCGCCCAGAAACTAAAATTAGGTTAAAGTACGGGAAACATTTTGTCTTAAGGGTTTCCGTGTAGTTTAAAAAACACGTGTAATTTTTTTTTCATTTTCAGTTGTTTTAGAGGTATAGCAGTTCGTGTAATATAAATAGATTGATGCTAAAGACGGAGCTCCCTTTGACATGCTTATAATTTACTTCAAATAATAAACTTGAAACCATTTCATGAAACTATTAAATCTATTCTTAATTTTGGAGGCGTGTCATTTAACGTTTGAGGCAGAGGCTGAGAGATCTGGGGGAAAATATCTGCAAACAGCTGGTCTGCAATGAAGGCCCTATGACCTGGTCAATGCAGAAAATTATTGGATTCAACTTGGACAGTATCAGAGGTGGAAGGGAGCACGATAAAATTTTCTATATATTTATTTACAAAATATTCCTGCTTTTCGAGCACCATTTTAGCTCAGAACCCAATGAATTTCGTTCGTGTAGTTGTTTGATATCCCCAGAGTCACAAATGCAACCGGACAACCAGCGAGGGTATTATCCGAACCTAGTAGTGACCTTCTGTAGAACGTCTCCCCACCTCAAGAATCTTATAGAGACATCGGGTACTTATGTGTGGGTATCTCTCCTTATCACAGTCCTCATCACCGTACTGTATGTAGATACTGATCGTGGTGGTTCGAGTTATCGTGAGCAGTATAGTCTGGAGATTTTAATCGGCTTTTATTATATACTTTAGATACTGAAAAAAATCATATCTTCATCGCGCGCAGTGAAGATACTATTTTTATCTTTGACGTGTGAGGATATTGGTGTCCCCATGGTTACTAACATGATTAGCCAATCATTGTCTTTATTTCTCCTTTATATTTTTATATCCGAGTTTCATAACATTTTTGTGAGAGGCATTTTGCGATAGGTGACTACTTTAATTGCACTATTTTGCTGTTTCGAAAATGAATTTAAAAAAAGTTGTGTTTTATGTAGGAATTTCATCAGTAACTATAAAATAAACAGAACATTACATGCCCGCTTGGGGAAACGAATTTTATCTTCTCGTGCTGAAAGTATCTCTCACAGGTATCTCTCATAAAATTCGTTTCCCCGCGCGGCCATGTACTATCATCTATTTCTTGAGTGGAATCTCATAACTGTGAAGTGGAATACACTAATGATGTAATAGTCTTTTTGTCTGAATGAATAAAATGCGGCGGAATCATAAAAGTCACGTGCTATTTTAGGGTGTCTTATACGGTTTGGCAGGTTTTATAGTTATTTTCATATCCATGTCATAGTTTATTAAAACTGTTTCATGACCTTATTTGGTCATTATGTCGCCACCTATGAACTGTAACAAAATTATGCCAGTTTCATTTCCTGTCGCTCTTATTGTCCGTTGCTGATATTGTTCCAGTTCCGGCACTAAACGTGATTTTGTACCTTTCCCCTCTCCTCTCCGTACCCTCCACGATGCAGTTATTTTTTACTATGTTCACTTTATGTTTTCCCTCCACTATGACATCAAAATTCTATTGTTGTCCTACCACCACAAACACAATTCTATTATTTTCCCTACTCACCCTCCTCAACCAAACCCGTTACTTGGAGACCCGGTTATTATAAGGGGGCCGTTTCTGGAAAGTCCCGATAATTAACGGGCCCGGTAAGCTGTCCCCGTTTACATTAAAGATCGAGGTTTCAATAGTTTTGCATCTAACATGATAAAACTATCAGTTAATGAAGCAAAATGGAGTAGTTTGCTAGCCAGGACCCGCACTCTTATTCTTTATATTTCGATTTGAATATTTGATTTCGGGCCAGAAAAGTTACCGGGACTTTCGAGAAACTGGCCCCTGGGACTTAGATACTTTTTCTACTATTATCCGGGACACTGATTCCCATCCGACAAGGGAATCACCAAAGCTGATACCATTATCGCACCTACCGACCCATAATTCAACTTTAACCTCCCCTTCTGAAATGTTCTCATAATAACCCAATAAGTACTGTTGATCTATGAGGTTAGAAGCATAAAACCGCCATTTGTCGTACTGCACAGCCTCAATCGTCATTCGTCCACAATATCTGGTGTCATTGAACTTGAAATACAAGCGGCTACACGTTCTATTACCATCAATCCTTGTAGATCACTGGATTGAAACTTTGAGCGCTGAAGAAGATATCAAGTTAAAAAACGAAAACGTCTAAAAGAAATAAACTGCAATGTCCTTAAGTAAGGACTAGGCCAAACGTGGAGCCCATTTTTATTGAGGGAAAAATTGTAAACAAAGGTTCGCCTACAATCTTGCAGTTTACCGAAGCAAGAACAGAAGATTAATTCAATACTTCCGTAACAAGGATCAAGTACAGGGATTAAATATTTAAAACAAACACAGAAAAACGAGACAAGTTCGGGCTTGTTTAGTTGAATGAAAACGCCTAAAATTTGTAACGAACTTGGAGGAAAGGAAAAGGGAAAAACAAACACAAAGTAACAGAAAGCAAAACTGTTTAAAAATGTTGTTTTTTGTGGAAAATTGTTGTCCTTTTATCATAATGATGTCATCATTAACTTTTGACCCTGTTTCAGTACCCCGGACCGGAAGAGAGAACGTGAACAGCGGTTATGAATTTGCAAGATAACTTCCCCTAAAGGAAAAAGAAAAAATGCAAGAACAAACAATCTCAAACAGGAAGAAAAGATTATCTTAAAAATAAAAAACAGGAACAAGAGATTAAAACAATTCTTAACAATGATCACGTACGAGGATTAAAGTTTTAAAATAAGCACAGAGAAACGAGACAAGTTCGGGCTTGTTTATTTGAGTGAAAACGCCTAAAATTTTGACGAGCAAGGGAAAAGGAAAACGAAAAAACAAACAAAAAGCAACAGAAAGCGAAATTGTAAAAATGTTCAGGTTTTTTGAAAAATTTTGGTTCTTTTATTATGATGATGTCATCATTAACGTTTGACCCTGTTTCAGTACCCGGGAAGAGAGAACGTGAACAGCGGTTAAGAATTTGCAAGATAACGTCTGTTAAAGGAAAAAGAAAAAACATGCAAGAACAAACAATCTGAAACAGGAAGAAAAGATTATCTTAAGATTTTTGCTATTTAACTGACGGACTCTTAGCGCCTAACGCAGTAACGGCAGTGAACTTGGTAGCTCTTGGTCAACTCTCAACATGGTGCAGTATTTTGCTCTTCTGTTGATTCTTTGCATTGCTGGAGGTTCCCTAGAAACAACGACCACACCTCAACAACAAAATACTGCAAAGTTAAAGGATCTATGCGAGGTAAGAAATGGACTGGTGAAAAGAACTACGCCCTAAATTATGAAAGACAATTTCTCACTAACAAGCTTCACAGTCTAAAAAAAATTGATACGCAAGTTAAGTTAGGCCTGTTTCAAACTTCGTGCCACTGCAGTGCTAAACTGGTCGACTGTAGCACGACTGTAACGCAACTGTCGCATGAAAAAATCTAATTCAGTCAAATTAAGGTAGTCTAACAAAGTTTGATAGATCGGAGTCGTTTCCATTCATTTCAGGTGCTATTTAAGACTCATTGCAGGTATAAAGCTCAAATTTGGCATGGAAAACATATCTATAAGCGACAATACGAGGGTGATTTTTAACCAGTCAAAATTTTGATTATATTAGGTTTACGCGAAATCCAGTCATTATACTTTCTTATAAATTTGCGCATAGCTTTGAATTAGTTACTTCCGGAGCCGATAAAAAAATAAACCTACCTCTCGTTCATGAGAAACTTGCTTGTATCACAAAACTCCTTTGTTCAAAATTTATCTTGAGGTTTACATTGACTTAAGTGCAATATGAATAGGATTTCTACCAAATTTCGACAAATTTTAACGGGTAGGTTTTACAATATTACAGGGCCACCCTTAAGATACAGGGCGTCTATCTTCGGGTACGAGTAGGCGACCATATTGGCCACGTAGTTAAATAAAAGGCGACCATTATTTCCCAGATGAGTTTATGACGTTACCATTCTAGCCGGTAGCCTACCCGTTTTTCCGCGGTGAGGGTAAAAGGCAGAATGAGTTTGCGGAATGGCATTTAGCATGGCTTCCGGAATGACATAATTATGCGGAAAGTAATATAATTATGCAGAATAACTTAAAGAAATCAATGAAACTGAAAATTGCGCCCTTTTTTGACGCCAATCAATTCACAAGCAGCCGCTTTTTTAATGTTGCTACACGATGACAATCAAAAAGCCAGGAAAGACTCCTTGGTTTCTCACGGTCGATTAGCTTTTTGCACAGCCACAAAGATGTTACTTGCCTTTATTAGTCGAGCTGCTGGCAGCACCGATAAAAGCCGGAAAATGAAGAAAAAATGTTTTGGAAGATCACGCTCCTTTCTGTTTTAATTTTTTTTCTGCAAAAGATATTTGCACGATTAAAGTCACTTTTTTTACCCGTTTTTGCATTTGTAACCGCGTGAGAAGTGTGTGTTTTTTTTTTTTAAGACGGTGGGTCACGTGATAAATCCCTACATTCAGAGACCGTGGCTTGTGTTACTTTTGCTTCCTTGGCTGCGTGGTGAAGTTTCAGGCAAGCGAAACAAACAGTAGGCGAAGAAGTGCGAGCTCGAATCCAGGCAATCGAGCTTGTGTGCTTTTCCTCTTTCTTTCGTTCTTTCTCTTCTTTTTCTTTTGCTTCCTACTTTTAGCAATTTTTCTCCTTTACCTTGACCTTCATAAAGTTAGTAAAGCCGGTAAGGCACCACACTAAATACATATTAATGACTTGGCTAGTTCTCGATCAAACGCACACACTCACACCAACAAGAGAGGTGCGAAGAGACGCGGAAATGCCGAAAGGAGACAGTGAGCAGTTCTCCGTTTCACTCAATTTGTAGATTACGGATTAATGTTTGACTCGAGGTGTTCATTTAGTCTCGAAAAATCTGATTCGTTCACCGTATTAATAATCCCTAGAATTGTAGCTAGCCCGACTTCACGTTCAGCAAGCGTTTTTTACCCTGTAGCGTTACGATAAAGAGTGACGCTTGATTTGAGTTTAGCCAAGTAGCGCAGGTTAAAAACCCAGACAGATTTACGACACAGTACGTCTGCTCGAATTTACGAGGCCTATTTCTTTATTTCATTTGGGTCCACCTAACACCATCGTTCCCAGGATCCTCTTTCTTCCTCCTCTCTATTTTACCTCGTCCGCTGTTACGATGTTTTTCTATGTAATGAGTAGAGTAAAAATTCAATAGAAGACTGTTTAATGTAATTTGTTTTTGTAGTTTTCGTACTTTCACTGCACTTCACTGGAAAAGAGATGTGACTAGGGAACCGTTTCAGTTTATTTTCGAAACGGGTTATCGATGACTTATCAAGTATCGGTGTATCAGCTGTGTTTCAATTTTAGCCTTGCTCGAATATAACAGTAATAAGTAGACCGGCAAAGCGAGTGCTCCTTAAAATTGGCGCCAAAAAAGGCGCGGGAGAGACGCGCGCATGCTTTCCTGTTTAATTTATTTCTTTTCGTCATTTTCCATAAATTCAGTAAATTCCGCATAATTATGTCATTCCGCAAGCCATGTCACATGCCATTCCGCAAACTCATTCCACCTTTTACCCTCACCGGTTTTTCCGGGGTAAGAGGCAATCTACCCGTATTTACGGCTTTGCGTACGGTTTATTTACCGTACACTTTATTTTGTAATTTTCGTACACTGAAACGGTGTATCTTAAAGGTCTCTATTGTCGTTCGTTTACACAGCTTATGAAATTCAACAAAACATGCTCTCAAACATTGCTCCCTTAGTACGTATACTGAACACTTGGGGGAGGGGGGGCTGAGATCACACGATATGCCTGAAGGCGACGAAAGAAGATTAAATTTCTACTGACAACTTCTCGTGATAATGGTGTTAACTTGCCAGTAAATGGATAGAGCATTTGAAGAGAAACTGTGTTCAGCCACCTGTTGTAAAAAAAAATGCACAGAAATCCAAAAAGAACGGTTTAATCAACTTTTTAAATGCATTCTTCTTATTTTAATAAGTTAAAGTATCTGAATTTAGTTCGGCACATCAATAGCACGACTTAGATTCATAAGTAGTGCTTCTGCGTAGCTAAATTTGAAGTTTGGCACGAGACGTTTTTGGTGTTGTTCCCCGCGCAGAGAATTCCACCAAGGGCAAAATACTATAACAATACGTTTGCAAGCACCAGCAGCGGCAGTTGTGGCGTTTTTAGACACAAATAGGTACATGCTCGCCTTTTGGAGTTAATTATATGGCACCTAATAGAACCTTAACATGCGGAAAAAGAAGGCTTGCACCGCAAAAATGTTACATGTTGATGCAACGAGAATTGAGAAGTATGGCTCAAATCTCTCTCATTCAAATGACTTCTGAGAAACCCTCCCACTTCGCGTGCAAAACTCGCATTGAAAACTGAAAAGGCGACGTCAACGCCTGGTCACGTGGTCTTTTTTAATTAGCCGATAGAGATTTTCCCCATTAGTGTCCAAGTTGACATTTTTTTTTATTATTATTATTATTTTTTTTCAATCCTGTCTCAACATGAAGTCTGCAGAAAAACGGCAAATTGAAAGACTTCTGCAAAGGTGATAACAACGTGGACTGATTTTTTTAAACAATATTTCAGCTAGCCATATTGGCCTTATTCAGGTTTACATGCAGATGCTATTTAATTCTCAATAGAAATTACCATGATGTAGATGGAGAATGTCGCAGTAAAATTTGTTAAATAGGGAGAGGTGGAAATGACGTACAACATAAAAAAGAGAATAGAGAAACTATCTAGATTTCAGTTCGTCACGACGGTGTATACCATAAGGTTCAAGAGTCATGGCCTTTTCTATCATGGCTTTACGGACTGAGTCACGTGAAGCTAGAATGAATTTTCTCTAGTGGGATTAACTGCATGTAAGTGAGAGAATGGTCAGAGTGAGAGAGAAACTATTCAGAAACAGTAGTGGGTTTAGGTTTAATGTTAGTTTTGTTGACTGGTTGTCTGTGCTCGTTAAATCTGCCCTGGAGTAGTCGCTTAGTTTCACTTATATTGTAGATTGCAGCGGTTACATTTTAAGTGCTACGTTTTAAGTGTTACAAGTAACGTGCGAAGTGATAGAACGTGCTTCATCTTCGGAGTAAAAGGTGTAACTTGTTAAGCCGTCTGTGTACTTTTAGGGTTTTTTTGTTTGTTTTTACTATTTTGTTTTTATCATTGTGCTTCTAAAATAAGGGAAAGTGCAAGTATCTCTGACAATATGTTTCATCCTTTCCCGACTAAATTTTAGTGTCAATTGGGTCCATACTAATCCATCTTTACTTACAGAAATCTATACTCGGTCATGGTTTTCCTGGCATTCCTGGATCAAATGGCATGCCGGGAATGCCGGGTGTCCCCGGACCGCAAGGACCCCAGGGAAGAGAAGGTGCAAAAGGGCAAATCGGAGATAAGGGATTGCAAGGAATGGCGGGTCCAAGAGGAGACAGAGGGCGCGAAGGGCCTCCCGGAAAGAGCGGACCCCGAGGAATAAAGGGAATGAAAGGTGAACCAGGACTTGTGGGAGTGAAAGGAGAGCCAGGCATTATGGGAATGAACGGAAGAAAAGGAGACAAAGGAGAGAAAGGAGAAAGCGTCAAAGCAAGTCAAGCAAGTGTAGTACCACAAACCAACTGGAAACAATGTGTGTGGAAATCAGCAACCAGTACTAACAACGGAAAGATTAAGGTAAACAATGACAACCCTCTGACCAGAGAATTTTAAATTTACAAGAGTACTCCTCGGTGAATATATAAGATCGAAGAGAGTTAATCTCATGTCTCAAGAGAGTGCCATGTTTAATGCAATTGCTGGATTGCATAAGGTAGGGGACTAGATCCACCTATTATTTTCAACTCAAGAGTAACTCAGTCGGAAAGAGCAGACAGAGCTTTATAATTTTTTTTCTTTTTTTTTTTTATAATAGTAATTGAGCTGAGTGGAGTGCAATTTGATCTAAAATCATACGCGTGATTTCAACGCGCGAGTTCGATTTGAAATCACAAGTACGACCAAAACTGCACCACACTAAGTTTAATTAACATTTTATTACAGCCATTTTGAAATTGCAGAGTTCACTCAATCCCAATCTTGATCTAGTAGCAGGTTTGTTGATAAGCGGAAACAAAAAGGCTTGTTTATAGAGTGAAAATGGCGCGATTTAAAACAGAAATGATGCAAGTTAGACATGAATGACGCTATTTACATTGTAGAACAGATGTGATTTAGAGCAAAAAAGTAGGTTAATTCATGACTATCACTGACACTGTTGAGAGCCATCGGATTGGAGGGATCACCAGAGATTTAAAAATGGATAATATTATTAATAAAATAATAAAGTACATAAAAGTTTTATAAAATGGCCCGACCCACTGCCCTATGAAATCCGGTAGTCAATAAAATTATGTTCTCGTAGTGCGTATATTCTCAAGGTTTTTGTTGTTTTTGTTGCTGTTCTTATTGTTGTTGTTGTTTTCTTTGTTTTGTTTTGTTTTGTTTTGTTTTTTTTTTGCATGACTTCACTCACTCGACAAAGTGAGAGACTAGCGCTTTTTTTAGAATAGTTGTCTTTTTAACAATATATTATTCTCTTGCAGGACTGTACTTTTAACAAGCTGACGTCAAATACAGCACTCAAAGTCTCATTCCAGGGAAACGTTAGATCTGAAACTTCCGGTGGATGCAATCGGTGGTATTTCAAGTTCAACGGAAACGAATGCAATGGACCAATGACGATTGACGCTGTTGTCTATAACGCTTGGCCATCAGGGAGAGCAGCTAATCAGCTGCATCATCGGTCATTTGAGGGGTACTGTGAGAACATCCCACAAGGGACTGTTAGAGTAGAATTATGGGTCGGAAAGTGCCCTAGCCACACCTTAGGTAGTGCGCACACTGGGTGGAATTCAGTGTCCAGGATAATACTAGAAGAAGTATCTAGGCCTCAGTCCTAAATGATAACTTTGCTTACGCTAAAAGGACCATGCAACTTTCCTTTTTTCAAGATTCCACAAGCACTGTAATCCTTGGTGACTTAAAAAAGTTAAACCGATTATATTCTAAGGAGTCGATTATAAAATTTATACAAAGAATTGCTGACTTGTATTGATTTTGGTTGTCTATCCTATGTAATTAAACGGAAATGACTTCTTACAATTGTACTTTATACTTAAAATCTTCTATGAAGCTCTTGCTCTCAAATAATCTCCCTCTCTCTAATAAGTTCCCCTTTTCAGAGGAAGAAAGTTAATAAGCCCCCTACACTCCCCTTATTATTTTTCACTAGTAAATGATAGACTTCTGTATTAATCAATCACGACTGTAAAGCTTCGTGTGTAATCGAAAATGTTTTGCTTTGTAGCCCCCTTTGCGCTAACTAAAAATGAACAGATTTTCCGTTGACTCAATCGCAACATTATCGTTTTTATGTTAAAATATACCAAAGAGATTGGCTCGATCGGGACGTCCTATTTTATGTCAACTTTTTGACAACGTGCGGTGGTTTTCTAGTCGCGTAATCTAAGTTCGGAACTGACGAGAATTACACGTCACTATAAATCAGAAACGTTCGGCCAGTTCAATATATTTCTCATTATTGAGCTGCCTGTGGCCCAATCATAAAATGATTCGAGTCCAGGTCGAAAAAGGTAAGACAAAATGTCGGACGGATCTACCAAAAGACATTGCGCGTCCTATCTCCCCTGCCGTGGTGGAAAAGACTTCTGAGGGGGAGTCCCTGCTTTTTGACCCTGACTTTTTTTCATTCATTGAAAGCCGAAACAAGTATTTTTATTGTTTATACCAAGAGAGGATAAAGGGGAAAGAGAAGGCATCCCCCATACACACCCTATTCCATAGGCAATTCGTCACGAGTTATTTTTAGAATCAGGATAAAGTTACCTCGCGCGCTGCTGGATGTTTCGTGGAGTTTTCGCATGACTAAACGCCGTGCAAAACATGTCGGGCGAAAGGCAATGAAAGCGCGTAAAGAGATCGAGAGCATTCCTGAATATTGAAGCGAAATGAGTCGGCGCTCACGAGGGAAAAGGGGATCGCCCCATCTCTTCTTCCGAAAGACTCTTGTTCCGTTTATTTGATTTCTTCGGCGCCTTTTTGCTTGATTTGGTGACGGTCGAACTCGAAGGCGCGTGGTCTTAAAAATAAGAGACGAATTACCTATGGAATAGGGTGTGTATGGGGGATGCCTTCTCTGTCCCCATTGTCCTCTCTTGTTTATACCCGGTTTTGGAGGAACTATAAACTCAGCATAAAATATTTTAGACCACTGCAGGCCAATGCACGCATAGTATAAGCGTCTTGTTCTTACTTAGTTAAGTGTTAAGGTTTAAGCAAAAACACTCGAAAAAGGCCATTTCATTTCAAGATGACCAGTCTGGACTGCTCAGTTTCCATTTTTAGTAAGCGCTCTTGGTTTAAACAAAGGAACTGAAGGTTTTCAACTGTGACACACAATCTCAAATAAGCAACAAAGTGAGTCAAGCTTGTCACGTGAATTCACGTGTATCTAGTCACGTGACAGCAAATGGCCAAAGCAGCGGGTGCTTCGTTATCCCCGTAGCCTCTACCACTTTCTGCTACCGTTCCAATTAATTCAAACAAACGCAACGTTTTCCAAGCGGAAAATAATCCCCGCAAAATAAGGCTAAATTAAGTCTGATTCAGCATTTTAGCTGGCCTCTTGTTAAATGAAAAACTAAAAAGAATTAAGAGGGGGTATTTGCCTTTTCGCTCATAAATGATATTTAAAAAATGAGTGTGAAAAACACTCGTAACATTTTTGCCAACTTTTAACTCGTTGAAAGAAAAACGTTTTTTGAAAAGGTCTGTTGTTCATGGTACAATAAGGAATCTTGTTACATTTAAACTGTCTCGTAACATTTAATTTTTGCCAACTTTTAGCTCGTTGAAAGAAAAACTTTTTTCAAAAGGTCTGTTGTTCATGGTAACAATAAGAAATCTCCCTACACTTAAACTGTAGCAAGTATTCTTTTAATAGGAGAAAGATTTAGAATCTTCATCACGTTTACGGTCATCAACTTCAAGTTCAAAAGTTCTCAATTAGGAAAAGAACAGATAAAAACCTTCTAAACTAAATCTTATGAGACATGTTATAAATGACACTGGCATGAATATACTGATTTCTGTGTAAACATAACTGTTTGGATTTGCTAAGACTTAAGAAATTTCAAGTGCATTTCAACAATTTGACATCTAAGTCGAATGGACAGCAGTTAAAAGTCACTAGCTAAGGCTTAACAATGACAACTTTTATTGCTGGCAACAGACGGTAAATTTCTCTGGCATAAGTAACAGGATTTTGCGATGAAAAAACATTTGAAACGTCCAGAAATTATAACCTTTTAGGGACCGGTCATTATTTATCGCCTGGGGGGGGGTCGGAGGATTTTGGGCTAAACACGATGAAATTTAGCCGATCCCCCCTTTAAATGTTATTTTATTGAAGTGATCCCCCCTCATAACTATATATAACTTTCGTGATCCCCC